CTGATGAAAAGAATAAACTCATTATTGTCATATGAATATATTATTATTATTATTATTATTATTATTATTATTATTATTATCATTATCATCATTATCATTATTATTATTAGGTGGGGTCTGGCACCTCTCAGGTGAGCACCATTGCCATTCTCAGAGAACAAGTGAGATGTTCATGGTAAGTTCCAGCACCTTATTTTCTAGAAGAATAGCACTTATTCCTATTCTTTCCACTTATATACTGCCATTTATCCAAAGATCCCAGAGTGGTATACAACATTAAGAACATAATTTACAGAGCATAACAATAGAAACATAAGAATATAGCACAAGAATAGATAGCCTAAGAATACAAGAAGCGTAATAGGTAAAAAGGTAAAGGACCCCTGGATGGTTAAGTCCAGTCAAAGGCGACTACTGGGTTGTGGTGCTCATCTCGCTTTTAGGCAGAGGGAGCCAGCATTTGGAATTATGGAATTGTGCAACCTCCGAGCCAAGGAGAGAAGTAACTATACAGCCTTTAGAAGACATCTAAAAGCAGTCATGTATCAGGAAGTTTTTCAATGTTTAACCTTTTATTATGTTTTTATATGTGTTGGAAGCCGCCCAGAGTGGCTGGGACAACCCAGACAGATGGGCAGGGTATAAATAATAAAATTATGATGATGATGGACTAGGACGTCCCAGTTTTCATCAGAGAATTTAGGAGGATAGGAGACTGGGAGCCTATTGTGAAGTCTCTGGAGGCCAGATTGAATACCTGAGCTGTGTTTCTCCGTAAGCTAACATCCCCCCTTACATTTGCAGTATTCCAATGTGTATTAAAAGGATTTATTTGAAATAAGAGAAACCAAGAAATGTCCATGGAAACACACTCAAATGAATGTTTCATTTTGCTGAAGGTAGGCTGGCTCTACCATTGGGTAGGGTGAAGAAACTGCCTCAGGTGGTGGATTCTCAGGGCCAGCAGAAGCAATTCTGACTGCCCCAGCCATTTCCCTCTGTTGCCACATGACCTTCTAATGTGCTGCCTCAGATGTGGCAGAGGATGCTATACGTAAAGTAAGATGCATCTGCAAGCCCAGTTGGTTTCTGTATGCAGAATTGGGAGGGGATGTTTGGCAGCTTTAAGGTAAATTCAGCGGTGTAAGTAAGTTTTGATGGATGCAATAATGGAATACCGAATGGTTTAGTTTATGTAAAATATGCAGGAATTCATGATATGCAAAACCATGGAACCATGGAAAGAGAAGAAGGGAAGTCATTGATATTTTAAGGATGTTTAAATGAGTATTCTAAGTTGTAAAACAGAATATATATCTATGTATCTATCATCTATCTATCTATCTATCTATCTATCTATCCATCTATCTAGCTATCTAGCTATTATCTATCTATATATGGGAGGCATTGTGGAAGAGATACGGAGCATTACAGAAATTCCACAAGTACTGTTGTGCTCATGTCCTGCTTAATAATAATAATAATAATGTTCAATGTACAGGGGACGCGGGTGGTGCTGTGGGTTAAACCATAGAGCCTAGGGCTTGCCGATCAGAAGGTCGGTGGTTCGAATCCCCGCGACGGGGTGAGCTCCCGTTGCTCATCCCTGCTCCTGCCAACCTAGCAGTTTGAAAGCACATCAAAGTGCAAGTAGATAAATAGGTACTGCTCTGGCGGGAAGGTAAACAGAGTTTCTGTGGGCTGTTCTGGTTCACCAGAAGCGGCTTAGTCATGCTGGCCACATGACCTGGAAGCTGTACGCCAGCTCCCTCAGCCAATAAAGCGAGATGAGCACCGGAACCCCAGAGTCATTTGTGACTGGACCTAACAGTCAGGGGTCCCTTTACCTTTACCTTTGACAATGTACAACCTGTGTATAATGAAATTAACCGAGCCTCCCCCCCCCAACACTCAATCTCATTGTCACACAACATATCAACCCTTAAAGTCAGTTGCACTATATTATTTTCCATTCAGCAGCCTAACAGCCCACAGAAAGAAGAAGAAGAAGAGTTTGGATTTGATATCCCGCTTTATCACTACCCAAAGGAGTCTCAAAGCGGCTAACATTCTCCTTTCCCTTCCTCCCCCACAACAAACACTCTGTGAGGTGAGTGAGGCTAAGAGACTTCAGAGAAGTGTGACTAGCCCAAGGTCACCCAGCAGCTGCATGTGGAGGAGCGGAGACGCGAACCTGGTTCCCCAGATTACGAGTCTACCGCTCTTAACCACTACATCACACTGTTTCTTAGCCTGTTGCTATGACTGATTATACTTCTATATCTCCTGCCCAAGGGTAGAAGATTACAGAGGTGCTGGCCGGGGTGTGAATCATCCCTGAGAATTTTTCTCGCTCTCCTAAGGCATTGATCCCTTGCAATGTCATCTAGCGGGCTCAGGGGACAGCCTATGATATCATATGCTGTGTTCACCACCCTCTGTAAAGACTAATCTTAAATCCCACCCACTTGACTGGGTTGCCCAGCCACTCTGGGTGGCAGCTTCCAGCATATACAAAAACATAGTAAAACATCAAGCATGAAAAACCTCTGTATTCAGGGACTACATTCAGATGCCTTCTAAGGATTGCATTTATCTCCTTGACATCTGATGGGAGGGTGTTCCACAGGGTGGATGCCACTACCAAGAAGGTCCTCTGCCTGGTTCCCTGTAGCTTCATGTCTCGCAGTGAGGGAACTGCCAGAAGGCCCTCAGAGCTGGACCTCAGTGTCCAGGCTGAACAATGGGGGTGGAGATGCTCCTTCAGGTCTACAGGGCTGAGGCTGTTTAGGGCTTTAAAGATCAGCACCAACACTTTGAATTGTGCTTGGAAATGTACTGGGAGCCAATGTAGTTCTTTCAAGACTGGTTTTATATGGTCCCAGTGACCGCTCCCTGTTACTATAGGCACCATGAGCTTCCCATAGGCATCTGGTTGGCCACTGTGAGAAAAAGATGCTGGACAAGATAGGCCAATGACCTGTTCTAGAAGGTTCCTGATGTGATGCACTCCCTTTATTATAGGCCAAATTTGATTTATTTCCAGCAAAACTGGTGTGTTTTGTTAACTAAACCTGAACAGAAAAAGAAGATAGGGCAATAGGAAACGTCGGTAAGAGAAAGCCCAGTTTTTTGCTAAAAGCTGTGCACTCGAAAAAGTAACATTTCATCGGCGTGATCCATATATTATTCAAGGAAGTTCCTGGCAGAATACACAAGCTTCCTTTACAAGTCACTGAAGCTCATTAACTCTCCTCGCACACACTTGCCATCTGGCTGCACTTATGAGATATTATTGCCAATGTGCCTCATAGTCTGTGACAACCCTCAGTCTGTAGATGAAAACGAAGTGGGACCTTATGCCATCTAATTTCTCTGAAACAAGTTGGCATCTTCTGATTCTTCTTCAAATGCCCTGTAGGGGGGGGAAAAGCTAACATTTTCTAACGTTAATGGCAAGCAAAAAAATATGCATAATGTTTGTTTGTTTGTTTGTTTGTTTGTTTGTTTTCTTCATTCAGAAGGACACTTAACCATGGGAACAGCCCGAGACTGATGGCATCCCCTCCCATATATAGATAGAGATAGATGGATGGATGGATAGATAGATAGATAGATAGATAGATAGATAGATAGATAGATATCTGTGTCCATGAACACAGTCTTAACGGTGAGTCCGTAAGTTACTGTGGAAGCCGATTCTGGATCCACACGTCCTTCCACAGTGGGGACAGAGGTTTCCGGGCAGGAGTTGATCACGGTGAGGGTTTGCCAAATGTGCCTCCCTCTTAGAACATTTCTTCCTTTCATCCTGATTTTGAGCGTCTTCAAAGTCCATGACACCTTTGGTAAAGGCTGTTCTCCAATTGGAGCACTCACAGGCCACTGTTTCCCATTTGTCAGTGTTCATACTATATTTTTTTAGATTTGCCTTGAAGAGAGTCTTTCAACCTCTTTTGTTGACCACCTGTATTACGCTTTCCATTTTTAAGTTCGGAATAGAGTAGTTGCTTGGAAGATGATAATCAGGCATCCGTACTACATGACCAGTCCAACGAAGTTGATGTTGAAGAACCATTGCTTCGACACTTGTGATCTTTGCTTCTTCCAGTGATGATCCAGCGAGTGAATGCAGATTTGCAGTACCCTTATCACATGCATGATCCTTCTGAAGGTTTGAGTTTCATTTGTCCAATCTAGTCAACATTACCAGGAAGCACATTCATGGCCAGATGCAACCACTCAGTTGCTAAAATTGTAATGGCAACAATGCACAAAGGCATAGGGAAACTGGTAAAAGTGTGTCCTGTCTGTGCCGTGTGTTGCGGTGCAGGAATTTGGGCTAAAGAATACAAAATAAAATAGGTATGTTGCTACTTCACCTCCCAGCTGCTCTTCTTTCTTTAAGGAGCTATCAGATTGATAGAACTCTTGATCAGTAATAATATAAAGGAGTTGTGAGAGCCATGCCGTGACTGCCCAAATCTTGATTTAGAGGACATATTCCTTAGCTCGGAGTTTCTGCAGGGCTGGGAAATGGAGCTGGAAGCTGCAGCTAAAGAGACTATGAAGTGCACCAGGCCAAAAGTATTGCTCCATTTACTAGGCAAGGTTGCCAGACTTCTAATATTTATATCGAGCCTGTCTCACACAGAAACATCATGCCTGGCATTTGCAGAGAGGTCAGCACCCTGTGCAGTATGTGTCAGGAGTGCGTGCAGCAGCCAGGCCCTGTGACTGGTAGGGCCTCGCAGGATTGGGGCCTTCCTGAGTTTGGCCTGAAAGGGCAAACAGACGGCCGGACGGAAAGGGTTAATCAAGTTCTGGAACAATATCTCCGCTGCTTCCTGAGCTACCATCAGGATGACTGGTCGGATCTGCTGCCATTGGCCAAGTTTGCCTACAACAACGCCTGCCATGCCTCCACGGGACAGAGCCCCTTATATGCCAACCTCGGGTACCACCCGCACCACCACCCCTGCACACTGGCAGCGTCTCTCATGCCTTCTGCCAATGATCGGGACTCCCACATTCAGGAGACACAAGCCAACCAAGTACAGCACCTAGAGAGAGCCAAGGCTGATTATAAGGTGCAAGCTGGCCGACGGCATCAGCAGGGGCCCGCGTTCCAGGTCAGGGACAAGTCTGGCTGTCCTTGGAGCACCACCACACTAGACGTCCCTTGGCTAAGCTGGACTACAAGTACCAGGGACCTTTCCCCATCCTGCAACAGATCAATCCGGTCGCCTACAAGTTGGAGATTCCCCCCTCTCTGAAGATCCACCAGGTGTTTCACGTATCCCAGCTCAAGCCCTGCCATGCGGACTATTTTCTGGGTCGCATCGCCCCGCCACCACCGCTAGTCCAGGTTGATGGCCATGAGGAGTTCCAGGTCACCCAGGTTCAGGACTTGAAGCGGCTCCATGACAGACTCCACTATCTAATTGACTGGGTAGGCTATGGGCCCGAGGAAAGATCATGGGAGCCTACCGACTTCGTGCACACGCCTGCGTAATACTGGTGGTCAACAAAAGATGTTTAAAGACTCTCTCAAGGCAAATCAAGGGCCTTTCCCCGGAGGTTCCCAGACAAGCCCAGGCCTTGACCGGGGGTGGAACCCAGTTTTCCTATGGGGGGGGGAGTACTGTCAGGAGTGCGTGCAGCAGCCAGGCCTTGTCACTGGTAGGGCCTCGCAGGACTGGGGCCTTCCTGAATTTGGCCTGGAAGGGCAAGGCGCGGCCGCACAGGTGAGGCTTGACAGAAGACTCGTAGAACCTGGTGGCAAGGGCCAGGAGGGGTATATAAGAATAGCATTTCCCTCTGGCTCTTTGCCACAGCAACATGCTACCCACCTAGCTGTGCTTTGGCTTCCTGACTCCTGGTTTCCTGACCCTCGGACTGCTGGTTTCCTGATTTGTGGACTCTTAGCTTCCTAACCCCTGGACTGCTGACCCTGGACTGCTGATTCCTGCTTCCCAACCTCAACCCCGGTCCCGACATACCAAGCCGGGACTCCGACTGACCGTAACCCGGACCGTGACAGTGTGTAAAGGAACAACTCTGATGGCAACCCCGCTGCTACTGTGGGGGAAGTTAAAGAATCCTTGGTCACTTTCTCCATCCACATGACTGGTGGGGAACCTGTAACTGCCCAGATGTTGCTGAACTACAATTCCCATCAGCCCCAGGCAGCAGAATCAATGGCCAGGGATGATGGAACTTGTAGTCTAGCAATATCCAAACAGTCACAGATTTCCCACCCTTCTATAGAGGTCTACAAAGTTCCACAGATTTCACTGGGACTTACTCTGGTAAGTGGATCGAGAATTGCAGGTTGAGGTATATAATAATGGAGCTATATTGCAGACCCTCCAAGTGTCCCTATTTTCCAGGGACAATCCAGGATTTACAGAAGCTGTCCCACTTTCTGATTTGATCCCAGAATGTCCAATTATCCCTTAGGACGTCCCTATTTTCATCTGAGAAATGTTGGAGGGTATGTGATCCTTATACCTTGGGTTCAAATGAATGACGGTTGCTTACATACATGCATCTGGCTACTTTGGAGTCTATCGTCCATAGCTTCTTTGCCTTCTTCCATTTGCTTCTACTGCTTTTGTGCAAAGCAAGAAAGCAGTTGAAAAAAAGTGCCTTTTTTTCCCCTCCAGCAAACATAATCCTCTAGGTTATCCAACCTGTTTTATCCATGAATGCGAATTTCTGTGTAATCACAAAGCCAATGCCCTTGAAAGCTCTCTGTCAGGAGTAGGGCACCATCCAGTTGTTGCTAGACTACAAATCCCATCATCCCCCACCAGTGTGGCCAATGGTCAGGGATGGTGGCAGTTGTAGTCCAACGACATCTGAAGGCCACCATGTTGGCTACCTCTGCTGTGATACATTTGCTCACAAGGCCTAGCTAATAGTAGGAGACCCGCCTGAATTGGCCGGTTTCGAAGCCCGGATTCTGTTGCGAGTGAAAAAAGAAGTCTGGTGGAAATTCAGTGGGAGGCAAATGGCAAAGATGCCTGGGAGAGGATTTGGAAGAGCAGTGGCAATTTTGGAAAGTTTCTGGAGGCTTCTTTAAGGCCTTATGGCTTCTTTACTTCTGCATCTGTCACCTGACCCCCACAACACTACAGTGCCAGGCAAATCCAATTCACTAAGAAGCAAGTCCCGCTGTGTTTAACGGGGCTTACTCCAAACTAAGGGTCTGTGAGATTGCAGCCAAATGATACGAATGATGCTGCCAAATGTAAGAAAAGTCATACTTTTCTTACATGCCCTCCAAGCTTTCTCTGATGAAAATGTTGTTATTGTTGTTTAGTCATTTAGTCGTGTCTGACTCTTCCTGACCCCATGGACCAGAGCATGCCAGGCACTCCTGTCTTCCACTGCCTTCGCAGTTTGGTCCAACTCATGCTGGTAGCTTCAAGAACACTATCCAACCATCTCGTCCTCTGTCGTCCCCTTCTCCTTGTGCCTTCCATCTTTCCCAACATCAGGGTCTTTTCCAGGGAGTCTTCTCTTCTCATGAGGTGGCCAAAGTATTGGAGTCTCAGCTTCAGGATCTGAGCACTCAGGGCTGATTTCCTTAAGAATGGATGCGTTTGATCTTCTTGCAGTCCATGGGACTCTCAAGAGTCTCCTCCAGCACCATAATTCAAAAGCATCAATTCTTCGGCGATCAGCCTTCTTTATGGTCCAGCTCTAACTTCCATACATCACTACTGGGAAAACCATAGCTTTAACTATACGGACCTTTGTTGGCAATGTGATGTCTCTGATGAAAATAGGAATGCCATATTCTAGTATTAGTATTGGTACAGTGGTACCTTGGTTCTCAAATTTAATCTGCTCCGGGAGTCCGTTCAACTCACAAATTGTTCGAAAACCAAGGTGCAGCTTCGGACATTTGGCTTCCAAAAGACATTCGCAAACCGGAACACTCACTTCCGGGTTTGTGATGTTCAGGAGCTGATTTGTTTGACTACCAAGGTACCACTGTATTAGTATTAGTATTTAATATTAGTATTATTTTATTTATGTACCACTCATCTGACTGAGTTGCCATCCACTCTGGGCAGCTTCCAACATATATAAAAAACATAATAAAACATTAAACATTTAAATTTGCCCTCCTATGTGTGTGACATCATACTGGATTCATAGGGAAAGGGTTAACTAATTGTAAAATTTGTTAGTTCCAATGGGAACCCAGGGGGCAGAGTTATCTGTGTATAAGGTTTAAGCACAGAGGTTTTTTAGAGTTAGAGTTATTGAGAAGACAGTCTGGAGTTAGAAGAGACAGAGAAGATAAGTCTGTGGGTTGGGCTAGTCTGGTGTGAGAGAGGGAAAGAATTTGTTAAGAGGAGTCAGCCAAACAGTTGAGATAATCAGTCAGAAAGTATTAGGAAGGTATAGGCTGGAAAAGAAACTAAAGTTAAGATACTGACAGGAATATTATCTGAGAAACCATAAACTTGTTAATGTTTGTAAAATAAACTTGGGGTTTTTTGGTTCACTTTTAACAACTGACTGGACTCAGTGTTTTACCAGAGAGTAACGGGTTGGTGGCAGCAGGGAAGTGAGCACAGTGGTGGCACAGGGATCAATAGACCGTTAAACGTCCAAGGACCCTGTGTGATCACCACACCAGAACACTCACTTCCAAGTTTGTGATGTTTGGGAGCCGATTTGTTCGACTACCAAGGTACCACTGTATTAATATTAGTATTTAATATTAGTATTATTTTATTTATGCACCACTCATCTGACTAGGTTGCCATCCACTCTGGGCAGCTTCCAACATATATAAAAACATAATAAAACATTAAAAAACTTCCCTATACAGAGCTGCCTTCAGATGTCTTTGAAAGGTTGTATGGTTACTTATTGAATTGGGAGTCGGATATCTCCATACCATAGCTGTCAACTTACAGATTTGAAAATAAGGGACCAGCAGCCTTGAAAATAAGGGACCAGCAGCCAAAATAAGGGACCTGCAGCCTCACCTGTTCCAGGCATTCCAGTCTTCCTGTCCTCCTGCAGTCTGGTCAAACTCATGCTGGGTAGCTTCGAGAACACTGTCCAACCAACTTTGTAACCAGAGGTTCAACTGAATAGAATCTGAATCACATGCACCACAAGGCCTATGCAGCCTCAACTTAAGATGTCTCCCCAGCCTGGCTTTGCACTGCAAAGTTTGCAGCAGCACATGCAACAAAATGGCGTCCAGCATTCAAAACACCCCTCAGCTTGCATTAACTAGCCACACACAAGGTATGCAAGCTCCACCCCCCAGTTGTTCTTAGACTTCTTATTGGGTGAGCAACACAGCCAAGCAACACAGTTGGAGCCTCCCTCCTCCCTGGCCGGCCGGCAGGAGGGAGGGAGAGGAGCTGCTTCCTTTGAAATTTAAGGGACATTTAAGGGACATCCATCAATAAGGGACAGCAGCGGGACATGGTGCTGGAATAAGGGACTGTCCCTTCAAATAAGGGACACTTGATAGCTATGCTCCATACCCTCCAACATTTCTCCAGTGAAAATAGGGATGTCCTAAAGAGAAGGGGGATATTCTGGAATCAAACCAGAAATCGGGACGGCTTCTGTCAATCTGGGATGTTTCCTGGAATATACGGACACTTGGAGGGTCTGTTCTTGCCGATAGAATAGGCCTGAAAGAAGCATGATAGCATCAGTTTACTCCTGCAGCAACTTTAGCAGCAAAATCCTTCTCTTTGGCCACACTGCCAATAAATTTGTAATTTACTCCCATGTCTCACCTTCTGAGCTGAAGCACTTTCATACTGGAATAAACTAATCCTGTTTGAGAGGGTAGAGGTGAATGCACTATAAGTTTCAATTATATGTGTGTTCATTAAAAGAGTCCCACACTATAATTAGTTACATAACTTTTATGGGAGGTGCTAGATTGCCCTAGATCAACCGGAATCAAGTTATATGAGGGTAAAGGTCTAAGCCAGTTGACTACAAGTCCCTTGAGATGTTTTTAATGATGTTCATGTGCAGTCTGTCCTTAGGCAGAATTCTTCTAATTCCTTCTTTATCTTTTTTTGTTATCTATTGTCTGCAGCACTTTGTCTGAGACACTTGGCCCAGCACGGTTATTTATCCTATGGTTACATGCCTCTCGATACTTTCCTCAACTGAATGTGTCTGTACGGCACAGAATGTGCCCAAATAATTGCTTCCAAATTAGTTTGTCTCGTACATTTCTCCATGGCAATCTAAATATTCATAATTGAAGTCTTTATTTTGTTTTTGTTTTTTGAGACATAACAAAAAACATGGCTGTGCTTCTTTATCTGTGGTTTCACTGCAACTTACGTCATTATGTTCATTAGAGAATATCACTTGCATCATTACATATCTATTGTGTTCCAAAGAAGGCCAAAATTACAGAGGGGCCTCTGCCCAGTTTCAGGA